AATTTTATACGGAGTTCAGGGTTACTCAAAGTTGTATCATATCTGACCTCTACAACTAATGGCATGCAAGCATCGTGTGTCACTTTGAACAGACGTTTGTTTATGTCATACACATCTGACTAATAGTTTGATGATTTCAAATCATGTTATGGTCAGTGTGAGTCGATTCAGGGTAGACGAACACAACTGACGATCACTTTCAACAAAATGTCGTTAAAGTCAGTGCACAGCTACCTACTGACAGACACCAGATATCAAAGTTAATTTGTAAACAACTATCGTATCAACAAACTGGTCGACCATTAATCGTAAATATAAGTTTATTCTAGGTGTCAGCATTCACATGTGAACTGATCAGTCTCTGTTCACACTACAGCTTCTTGAATGGAATCCCATAAAATAACTGCATTCACAAGTTGATAGTATTTTTCAAAGCACCGCACAGCAACATTCAACAGAAATATCTCGTTTCATTTTTGACCAGTCAGTCAGATGTACCCTCATCTCACAATGAACACCAGCAATGGAAAACTTGTATATCCAACTGAAGAGTTCAAAGACAGATGGAAATGTGTTCGGCATTGCAGTGACGAGAATTCAATAATGTAGTGGTCAGTTAGTATTCAACTTGTTACACCGTGGCCACAACAATCAAAACACATCCTCTCTAATACTGTGAAGTAATTACCAAAACACAACAGACAATAAAAGGCATTGTTAAATTATATTATTCATGTTATTTGACCGATGTGAAACCACAGTGTATTGCGCGACCCACCTCAGTCAAGTAACAGAAGCAAAGAAATGGAGATGGATAACTTGTTTGGAATGTTCCAATAAACTGATACAATCACTCGATCATCATCAACGTCAACACGTGTTCACCACATATTACCAAATTAACTAAATCCATAATCAGATGAAACAATGTTCTATCAATCAATCGAAACATGTCTGGAACATGCGATTGACAGGTTACTCATCTCAAACGTCACAACACTCATTCTCACTAAATTTATCACTATTCACACTCCATTCAATAATTGGTCAAACTTCTAACAGAAACACGTGCTATTTTCACATCCGAATATTCCAGCTAATCAATTATCATCATAGATCATGTGTTATGCACTCATTAATCGCAATAACGTCGATTTATAGGAAAGTGTTAATCAGTGTTGAGTAACTTCATTGTAACTTGATGCATACATATTATACGCGCGTGCTCACACACAGAAACACGAATGAATAACATCGACTAAATGACTGGTGTACAAAGCTTGGATTGTTTAAATGTTGGATTGTTGAAATGTGAGATGAATTAAAGTTGAACCTGCCTAATAATGTATTTTCAGTAGTCTGTCTGTCAAACTGGTATATATATCAATCACGGAATCCATTAGTGTCGTCTGATTATTATCGTATACTTTATTACACGGTATTTTATCGCGAGGAAACTATGATTTTAACGTTATATATAATCACTACTGTTCTATCAAAATGATTATCGAACGTTATCCAAAGTACAACCCAATTAGCTGTACGATAGTTTGTGGTTAGCAGGTAATACGACGATTTCATGTATTCATCTGCCGATGCCTTCCAATATCTACTCATTTGTACTTAATCAACTACTGAGTGAGCAACGTTAATGTGGAATACTATGTTTCAAGTGAATTTGTGAACTTATGAACTGTCTCTGTCTCAACTAATCATATAATCTCAACATGTAATAATTGCCGAGAGTGAACTAATTTTAAAGTTAAGAACGAAAGAAAAAACTAAAGTACAAAAGTTGTGTATGGACTCTTGAAAATGATAGGAATTTATCATGATACACTCTAGATGATGTACCAGTGATCTAGCACCATAAAACAGATCAATCACACCTCTCTGATTTCCTAAGTTGGAATTATTCGACCAGATTTCATGCATTTAAATTTCTGAACACATGTCTTCCATAGTTTCATTAATGAAGGTTTCTATTGTTGAGTTTCTCTTAATGTGATATTGTAAAGTTTAGCGATATTTTAACTACTGTACTGAGGCTAAACTGACATATCTTTCTCTCTTGTAAATTTAAGGTGGGATAGACTAATATAACCCAAAACTTCCACTCAATTTACTTTACTACGATCTGAATCTAATATGCATTTATTCAGATGTGATAAACAGGTCACTGTTATGTTTGATAAATATTTTTCACCTTATAAACGACTTGTATTTCTCAAAGACTAGAATCATAAGAATTCTATCTAATTTACGTTCAGTGTACTTAACTGACGACCTTCAACTTATACTAACTACCTGAGGTCATAGGTGTTACTTCCCATTATAATATTACTACCCACACAAAGTATTCATCTATTCACACTTAACTGTTCAAATCATGTTTATGCCTAACTCGTACATTATTTGATTGGCTAGACAATTTCATTTCAGGTTCAACTTTCCAAATTTCCAACTACAGTCCCCAAAATATATGTAGGTATTCAGATATACTGTGCTTGATTTTCTCAGATCATGTACAATTCGATTATTTAGTAATTAAGTCAGTATACAATGAAGACGGATGAAAACCAGATAAAAATACAGTGGTTTTCGACAAATAATACGGTTATTGAAATAGTTATCTTCAGTGTATGGCAGTCATAATTTATGTCATTGAATATTTTTAATAGTGTTAAAAACACTACATATTTACTTACAAGCATACAGAAATTTAAACGGTAGGACACATGCATCATACATATTACCGATTTTCAAAATGAATAATCCTGTCCCGAATTTCGTTGACTTGTCATCCAGTCTAATTGATCAGTGATGTTTTCATAAACTACATCTATACAATGACAGCTGATACTCAAACATTTGATCATTCGACCACGAGAAGCCATCACATAAGACACTTTTTAAACTATGCATATGTTATATACATCAAATATCCATCTCAATCCGTTCAACATGATGAATGTGGATTGTTGAGTTCATGAATTGTGTAGAGTGTAGTGATCTTTTCACAACATATGCTTACCGACTATCCGTGTAGCTGACCGTTATTGGACAACATAGGAGAATTAAAATGTGGATCATGAGGTAGTGATATGGGCTAATAGCATGAGAGGGTGATAGATGAGCAGTAATTAGTGATCAGAGAGGGTTTAAAAAACCTTATTTGACATTTGAAATTCAATTTACAATGTCAGTGATTTCCGTGTGTATAGTTAAATTGTGTACGATTGTGAACCCTCATATATTGACTGTTTCAATCATACTACACACTGTCTAGAAAAATTGACCTATTTATAATTGCTAACAGCAAATACAATTGACTTGACTAGACAGACATGTGAACGTTTGTGTAAACAACATAGTTTTTAAAATGTTTTAGTTAAAAGTTTATGCCAAATCATCATTCAGAATTTATCGACAAAGTCGCAATGTCATCAGAGTGCATCGAAAACACTAACAACAATAAAGATTATGGTGGAGTCCTTGTTTACAAATCCATGTTTACATTATTACGTAAATGTTTTCAAACATGTAATTTATAGTAAATCAAATGATATTTCAATATAATTGATAATTCAGTCACCATTTCCAGTCACCTCAAGGGCAATCGATTAGAGGATGTTGACGAGTAATATTTCTAATTCTTGTTGATTTGTGTTATAATTGTATTTTGCTAATAAACGACCCAGCGATTCCTATTGCTTAGTATTCTTATACAATGACACTCGACAAGACCCCAAAATCAGAACACGTTGAACAGGAATGTAATTGTATTCAAAATAACAATAGTAAGTGAACAGCAATCACTAGTTTGAATAACGTTCATATATTTATAGTATATACACAAGAAGCTTCTAGATTTTTCTCCAATAATTTACCAGGGCTGATTGGTTTAGAATTAGCCAATCAGTGCGCAGCAACACCATCATGCATGAAACATGCTTTAATATAATCTATGTCCCGCTAACAATTTGACTCTCAGAAAATGGCGAAATCACAATTCGTTAGTGAAGTCAGTTGTAGCTTCTCGGGAGGAAATATTAGGACAAACGTGTAGAAATGAAATCCATCTTTCTATACTTGGGATTGAACAATGTATGTACCAGTAAACAGATTAACACAGTAATTTACAATGTGGTTTTATTTTCACTTTAAACTGCATATTTTGTGATGCATTCATAGTTAGACAAGATGTCTGCTCTTGTTTCCTGGCACTATACTTATTAATCGATTTATATATCTTAAAGTACGCACACTGATTGATCGGATAGAAGACTCACTACTTGGATTACAAATTTTAGATCATTCCTGATTCAGTTTATCAATTTGACTGTAGAGAAAATGCAATAGTTCAGTGGTAACGTCTCAAACTGTTCCGTTTGGTGACACGGGATCGAAATTAAAAGGGAGTACTAGTTTCCTCCAGGTTACAGTTATCTTTTATTGATGAGTGTAAAATAGCACGAGATTTAAGTTAAAGGCATCCCCTGCACTACCTTCTACCACCTTATATGAGAAAGATATTTTTAAACTGATTAAGATATTCTCTAAGTTTTTATCCAGGTGATTAGATAATTTATTCATCAAATTACCGACAGAGATACATAAAAGCAACCCTACAACATTTCAAGCTACATGATAATCATCATGTTAATTTTAATAGACCTCAGAAAACCTCGTGAACATAGAAATATATATAGTAAATTCGGTTATTAATTTGATGACAAGCGTTTTATTCAATATAATGCACGTAATACCCAACTCATTTTTAAAGATTACAAAAGTTTTAGGTTGATTTCTTAAAGCAAAGAAATATATATTTATTAGCTAGAATGCAAGTAGGCACCGATTTTAGCATTAAATTAAGAAAGCATTCAGTACTACAACAGATAAAGTTCTGTAAGTTGAAAAAGTAATCGCTGATAGTTTGAACACAACAAGTCAGTCATTGACTGCATACATATGAAGCCTTTGTAAGTTAACTTATTTCATTCACATTTGAAAACATATATCATAGGTTGCCCATCAGATTTCAGGTAAACACGTTGACTACTAACTGGCTGATCAATTGGAAAGTTTTTATTTGGAGGATATATTATTTTTGGAATAATGCTAGAGCACACGCTAGAAAAGTCAAATGTCCCGCTGACGGCATTGGGTTTTTTGCGCAAAACAACTATGAAAGCTGGGAAACCTTCAGCTTTGCGTTCAAACATCTCAAAATCCAACTCTTCTGTCTGAAATACAATAAGAGAATTGTAAAAATATTTCTTTGTAAAGTTTGATGGAGGCATGAATAACAGAACTGCTGTAGACAAGTGATATGTACAAAACATGTGGCAATGTAGCATAAAAGCACAATTGGTCAGAAGTGCCATAATTTGCCTTCCTCATTACGCAATCAAATAAAAGATACAACAACAGTGTATATTCACTTAGGATGGGTCAGTAAGATAACTAAACGAAAAGCATTCGGTTGATGCACATATCTCGTTGTTGTTTTTACAACAGACTGTGAATAATATTACATCATTTTACAATGAATATTATACCGTTGGTAGGGGGTGTGGGTTACCAGGTGTTCGACTTCTAGCCACTAAGTCCTCAGTTCAAACTCCGACTCACCTACTTAGGCTTAGGAATTCGAATAGCATTATTAGCCTTCACACCTGGAGTGTGGCTCGTACCCAAGTACCTAGTGTGCATGAGTTAATCTAATTAGAACTTGATAACATCGGTGTATACTATTTCACTATAGGAACAGTTCAATATTTAGATATACATTGTTGTGATCAGAAAATGTATTTCTTCACAAATACATTTTCAAAAAACAATGGCTATTAGGACGCTTGAGTAAAATGTAATTTTGGAAAGTTACCTAACATATTTAATCTTAGAATTCTAACTCAACACAGTTTGAAACTTATTATTCTTCAACGGTATATCGGTGTGTCAATGATTAATCATACCGTTGACACAATACTACATACAAACAAAAAGATAATGCATGATAAACCTTTCAACATAGAATATGATAATTCCGCCACAGCTCATACACACATTGTGCAACTACCACTAAGATTACTTGGGTGAGATGAAGTACAAACTGATAACCAAGTGACCGCGTGCCGTATCTAAATAACTAAGTCTTAGATTCATTGCTGAGAAAAACGGTACTACCTCAAATTTCACAATCGAATTAAAAGTGGTACAAGAAATCAGTACAATAATAATCAACTTACAATGCGACTGGATTTCAACATTCTGAAATTCCCCCAGAGCAAGCTTTCATTTTTACGAATAGCTACAAGATCTTGAACAAGAGAGAAAGAAGTGATCCCACGACCACTTGATGTTGCGGACTAAAACAGATGGAAAAAAACGATCCATTACGTGCATATAACAACTTAAATACACTAAAACACTTCTGGAACCGACTTTACGTACATCAACATCCATCGATATCTTGGGCGTCATCATAAGATTAGTTAATATCTCATGCAGAACAAATATACGAAATAAACTAAGTATTCTTTTAAAGACAAGAAGCAATAAAGAGAACTGAGTGGGAGGAATATTTGCAGTTAACACGTCGTATCTTCAGAACTTAGAAAAATTATAATCTATACAAAACTGATGTTTCTGGAAAATGAATTCGCACAATGACAAGCAAAGAAAGTTTCATCTAGAAAAACCTGCAGTGGAAATTTAAGGGAGGTTTGAGTGAATAGTTAACTATGGCGTGGTGTGAATCACATTTCGAATGCTAAAATTGAAGCAACTTTGATCATGTATCAGCAGTTAGTCAATACTTCTAATCTCCGTAACTACATATTTGAAGTAATATTACCTTATTTCAGCTTACATTTGTCAATTTATTTGACTACGTGACTGGTACTGAACAAAACAGACAGTTACTCAAGGCTAGAGGAGTAAGCAACTAATACTTTGACAGTTGAAGGTGAATAGTCGTTTCCTGACAATGCAATCTACTTGCTTTCCATTGTCAAATGACAGTGTCTTTTGGACATGTATAGCAGGGTTATGAACAACTGTTAATTATATAATCTATTGAGAAATATTCAATGAGAAAACTGGTTGAAAATTTTGAGCGTAATGCAAATGATTTTGCTGGTTTTAGTGATAATACCGTTAAACCAACATAAAATAAATATTTAATAATTAAGAGCAAATATCAGAAATATTTTGGCATATTGGACCTCTAGTAGTCTAGTCATTATGCATACCTCGACTGTTTCATTAATTTTAAAGGCTTTCAGATATTCTGTAAAGGAAGTAACATTCGATAAAATCGGCGAGAAACCAGCTCCAGATTGATCCCAAGGCATAGCTAATTGCGATAAAAGCACATCAGTTTCTTTAGAGCCAGTGAATACGGTCTTCTCATCAAACGGGTAAAACTCGCCAGTGAAATTGATGTTGCTCGTTTCCTCATTTAACTCCGAACCATAATACAGTAGAGAAGTGCCTAGAAATACGGCAGGCATAAAAATATACTCCCACAAATTGCAAAACTCAGGAAAAGTACAGGGTTTACTAAAGGAATAACTGGTTGCCTTTGCTACAGAACACAGCAACGTAATTGTGACGGATTGTTATGATAGTCACCGCTAACTACTTTGTAGATTGGTAATATATTCACTCTCCCCCACTCAGTTACTGTGTTTACAGTATGTTAAATTCTTAAGACTAATATTTATTGGTACACTAACATTAAAATCGACAGCATATTCGTCTCCAGTTGCTGTGGTTGGAGACAGGTTAAAACCGGCCAGTGATGTAGATGCGTTCATTCCATATTTAATGATGAGCTTTGAACTTGTTACTATTTGTAATTTCACTCGTTATTTTTGAACTAAATTTCATATACGTATCTGTCTACTACCGTCGACATCTGTGTTCTGATCTCACTTTTCACCACGTGAAATTCTTATTATTATGCTGATATAAAATAAGGCAACGTGTGATAATTTATACTTGTCACATTTTTAGTAACTGACCAGAATATTTGTAAACTGTACTGATGGGTTTGACACTGTTTTAGAACGATACATTTCTGAATGACTAATCGGCTTACTTAGACATTTGAGCCATCGATTTTCATAACTGTGCAAATATTGTAATAAATCTTCCGGTCTCAGATTACTTCGGATGGAATAATTAAATGTTGTACTTGTATAAGTACTTACACGTTCCTATAAAAGTACTTAAACACCACTATGTCAGGTAACGGTGAGACTAGACTGGAAACTGGTAGTTGTTACCACGTTCAATGTTCCTTATTCATGGAAGGAACCAGAGACACTTACACGGAAATTTCTACGTCTAATATATGATGGATAGAAAAGTTGTACCAATCAAGCTGGTATCTATCTCTCAAGACAGATAAGTGCAGAAATAAACTACTAAAGAGCGCAGAATACATCTTCGCATAATTACATTTCAGTGTACGCTAAAGGGAAATTTATTGTTATCTTGCATAACTGGTGTTGACGAGTTTTACTGCGACGAAATAAGCATTTAATAAAGCAATTATTAGTACATAGTAATTTTAACACTTTGATTGACAATTCGACACTTCAGATCTCTAAAGCTCTTAAATACTAACACTACTCGGGATATTAATGAACCTGATCGGGAAAGAGTTCATGGTTCATCCTTAGTACATTTTTAACGGATGTATAAACAATTGGTTAAACTCCTTATGACAAACAACAGACCGAATTGCAGAAAGCACATGATACATCACTAAATAGTATATAAAATGACGTGAAGTCATGGGAGGTGACTTAAAAGACAAAGTATTTATTTGAAACACAATTGAAATTTCAGCAAGTTAAAGGGATCACCATAACATTTGTTTATAGTATTGACGACGCTCACCTGGAAGCAGAAACGTGGAAGCCAAAGCCACTAGATCAGACTGTCTAGGGTCAGTAGTTGAAGCAGCTGTCAAAGCCATGGAATTTCTATCATACACACTTAGCATATCATACGTGAAAATATCGTTGTTTGTCACTGAAGGATTAGTTGGAGGTGCTTTCCTACAAAATAGGCTTCGAATAGAACAACTTACCAACCACGCTGCTTAACAAATTGACGGCTTACAACTACATGTGCTGCTGGTGAGTCTTCCGTCCCGAGATACTGCATGGAAAGGTCTTCCTTTTCACTAATACCATATCCTGTGTTACCAGCATCAACAGCCAATAACCTTAAAAGTTTACAGTAACATACGTAACTTACTTTGGTTTTCCACTGGACTCCGACACTTCATTGACAACCTTTCTGATTCTTCGAACAACGTCCACCGATTCGTTTAGGTATATTTGCGACGACGGGTATTCATTAAACCATTTCGAACCCAACTATCAAATAAAACAAACTGGAAATATCTCACCTCCTTCGTGATCAAGGCGGTGGGTTTTGCACTGTTTTCAACATAGAAAGCAACGTTGTCTAAGAGAATGCCATCTATGCCTTCATTGAGCCAAAACCTTGCCACATCCTACAGCAAATTCAAACTTCGATATGCAACGACCGAACTTACAGAAATATGATCTAATGTAACCGACTCTCTAAGATTAAGATCAACAAACTGTGAACCAAAAACAGAGTAATATTCGGTGCCTTGTATAACCGTTTTTGCATCGCCACCTAGACGGGAGATCTAAAGAAATAACATAAACCTTTTCATCATGTTCTTACCCGTCCACCACTTGGATATGGTTCGAGCATAGAAGTTAAGTCAGTCCATGAATGTTTTGCAGAGACAGAATTAAAGTCCATGGTCAAGACCACATGAATGCCATGTTTGTGGCATGACCTCACAAAATACTTAAAATCTTCCATAGTACCAGCTGCGGGATCAATATTATAGAAATCATCCACAAGACCCAATGTTTTCTGGTCATTAGTATACTGACCGGAGAAAATAGAAGTGAGGACAATAAAACCCGCGCCTATAGTACTTTTGATATATTCGAGTTTTTCAACCAAGCCTAAATGTAAGAGAAGAAGTATGTAAACTAAACTAACCTCGTAGATCTCCGATTTTGTCATTGGTAGAATCCGCGTAAGCAAATGGGTTAACCCAATACCCGGTACTTGATCTCCAGAAAGGCAGAACAGGTCTTGGAGGGCACTTGGGAGTGAACACTATTATTAGGACTGCTGCTAAGAGAAGTCCGATCCAAACAATCCAAAACAATATAAATAGACCCCATCGCAGACGTAGCCATAATGGCTCCCTGCTGTCTAGCTGCATCAAGTCTTCTCTTGTAAGTAAACGGTAGGTATCTTTCTGACCTGCTTCATTTTCATTCGTATCAGGACTATCTTTTGAGGTTGGTAAAAAGCCTACCTCCTCGTCGCATGGAACTCTACCATTGGTACCGCTCAAACTCATACTTTACACAAACTAACCGCTTGCGATGTGAAAATCACAAAATGTAGATGACAACAGAACAGAAAAACAAAATAGCAAATTGCTCAATCGAGCAACCAAACATATAAAGGTGAAGTTTCTTATTCTAATACAAAATTTTGACGACGTGACAACCATAAAGTCTTTTGGTATCCAGTTATTGACTTAACGCCTCACATAAAACTTGTGAATCATGAAAAGAGGATATAAAGTGAAGATGATAACGTTGTCAAAACCATGGGTAATAAGGAGTATCTACAACCTAATACGATAGTTTGATTGTGCGCAAACGTAATGAAGCAAAGATCGTTACATCAAAGTCTTGTTTTGAAGAGCTGTAGCTCTTGTTCCCACTTCTGATCAATAGTCTTTGAGTATAGTCATCATCCTAAAGCAACTACCTATTTTCCCTTTGTTTTCTTATCTTTTCGAGACAAAGCAAAATGTTGGCTGGTGTCTTACGTGCAATAGTCTTTTACTCTTCTTCCAGAACACGTTGTTTTAAGTTTATTTTCAGATACCGACGAAGTATCAACGTGCAAGTTGGCTGGCGGATGAAGTACAAAGTGAAGAACAATGTCATGATGGTGTTAGAGTCTTAGGTAGCTAGGGAGTCTGGTCTGTCAGAGCGAGTTTAAAGTACAGAAATGAACGAGGAAAAATATCCCATATAACGAAAAATACATCACTATATGTATGTATGTGTGGAGACAGGACTATAAAACATATTTTGTAAACAATCTTTTGCATGTATATTGTGTATTTTCATATTCTGTGCATTTAGCATTAGTCAATTGTACCGGTTGTTTAAGTGTGTTACTTTGAACACCGGTAATTTGAATTCCTCCCGTTTTCAGTACAACATATCGCGACATTGTTACTGCTCCTCAATAAATATACTCTAACTCACATCTGCATCGTCCTGCTATGTCTGCAAATAAGTTAAATGAAATGTTAATTGCGTACCATCTACGTTTATAGACAATTGTGACATTGTCATTGAATTCTGCACTTGATAAATCTACTGGATCCATATCGTCTATAGTGGGATTACTAATCTTTTAAAATTGTGGATTGTCCGGACCAAACTCAACTGAACGCGCAATAGCCTGAAGAATTAAGTAACGTCCATTACTTTTATCTGTGTGTAATTAACTTATTAATTGTTAATTGTGACATAAACTTTAGACGTAATATTTTTGTTGCTATCTTTCGGTTATCGTATGTTTTGGTCCACCCCAATTATTTGGTGAGCCTAGTATTTGATTATCTCGTATTTATCCCATTGTTATACTATTTATTAGCTTATTGTACGACCCACTGGCTCATTTTTTACTTAATGTACTCTCCACCTTATCTTAGCGATATGGACCCGGTTCCAGTAACAACTCTTACTTCATCATCAAACCTTACTAACAATATTTTTAGCCCAGTCTATCCCATTTCTGAATTTAGACTTCAATCATATGGAGCAAATAATCCTAGAGTCTGGTTTGCTCAAATAGAAGCCTTATTCCAGTCCCGGGGCATACGTTCTCAAGCATCTAAGTATGCTTATGTAGTGGGCTCACTTCCTATCGAAATTGCCGCCGAAGTTGGAGACCTTATTGACCAGGTTCCGGAAACTGAGTCATATGATAAATTAAAAGCGGCTTTAATTCAGCGAACAACGGTTTCAGATGAAACAAGATTACAACAACTTTTGAACGCATGTGATCTGAGTGACAAAAGACCTTCCCAGCTACTTCGACATATGAAACAACTTGTGGGCTCATATAAACTAGTTGAAGCTCTCCTCAAACAAATGTGGTTCAATCGATTACCACGTAGCGTCAGACAAATTCTAAGTGCCTTGGGGAAGTCTTCCTCCCTTGATGATTTAGCTGATATGGCGGATAAGGTAATGGAAATTTGCCATGATAACCATTACATAAATGCGATGCAGCCGTACGAAGCAGCGGATGTCGGCTATTTAAATTCTATCCAAAGACAATTGTCCCAACTAACGAATCAACTTGCGTCACTTCAGACCACAGGTGCATCAGTCCAAGCTAGACAGCTTGGACCTTCTCTTAGACGAAGATCCTTATCTAGACGACGTTCGCGTTCACCTAAGCAGAGCTCTGATGTATTTTGGTACCATAACAAATACGGAGCTAAAGCACGTCGCTACACTCGACCGTGCGCATTTTCTTCGACTGACTCGACGAATCAGGGAAACGGCCCGGCCAGGCAGTAATGGCGGCGTCAGTTTCTGGCCTCACCACAAGCCGTCTTTTCTACATCCGGGATCGCATTTCTGGCTCGGACTTTTTGGTCGATACAGGAGCAGAAATCAGAATTCTCCCGTTGCACCTCTCTCGACGACGGCACTCAGAGTCCTCTAAACTATCCCTTATTGCAGCAAACAATTCCACCATCAAAACTTACGGTGAGCAATCACTTATACTAGACCTCGGCCTACGTAGGAGATTTACATGGCTTTTTACAGTAGCTCACGTTAAACAACCCATCCTCGGAGCTGACTTCCTCAGTGCTCACAACTTATTAGTTGACATGTGTAAAAAGAAACTCATTGACAAAAACATGAAGATACATGTCATCGGCACAATTTCCTCTGACTTTGAAATCCATGGCGTCCGTATTCAAAAACCTGAAAATAAAATTTTCACTGATATTTTATCGAAATACGCGTGCATTACAAGAGTCGACTATCAAAACGAATGCACCGTTCATCACGTGCAACACCATATCACTACCACTGGCCAACCAATACGTGCAAAAACCAGAAGACTGCCACCTCACAAGTTAGCGATTGCCAAACGAGAGTTCGAACACATGATACGGTTAGGCATCATTAGGCAGTCTAGCAGCCCCTGGGCTTCTCCGCTTCATATGGTCCCGAAAAAAGAGCAAGACTGGCGTCCATGCGGAGATTATCGTCGTTTGAATAATCAAACTATTTCAGACAGATAACCTATCCCTCATTTACACGACTCTTTTTTAAACCTGAACGGAAAACAAGTTTTTTCGAAGTTAGACCTTGTACGGGCATACCACCAAATTCCGATGGCACCTGAAGATATCGAGAAAACGGCCATAATCATACCCTTTGGTCTGTGTGAATTCTTGAGGATGCCTTTCGGATTAAAAAACGCTGCTCAGACCTTCCAAAGATTCATGGATGAGGTAACTAGATGTTTGGACTTAGTATTCATTTATGTCGACAACGTTTTAAGCGCTAGTTCTTCTTTAAAAGAATATATTCAGCACTCACAGATCCTCTTTGAGCGTCTCAAAAGTTATGGCATCGTGATTAATCCCTCAAAGTGTATATTCGGTGCTTCAATTTTGGAGTTTCTTGGTCATCACATTGACTCTCGGGGAATTAAACCGCTACCAGAAAAGTTTGAAGCCATCATCAATTACCGTGAGCCTAAGTCCGTAAAAGCATTACGTCGGTTTCTTGGGGTGAGCGATTTCTATCGACGTTTCCTTCCTCACTGCGCGGACATACTACAACCCTTGACACATATGCTGAAGACGGATAGAACAGTAGCGAAACACAAGAGAAACGACGCTTTCACATTACCTCTTGATGCTAGATCAGCCTTCGGTAAAACAAAATCTTTGATAGCCAATGCAACCATGTTACAACATCTGAACTCTGATCCTTCAACCCACCTAATCCTCTGCACTGATGCATCTCAGAAAGCTGTAGGTGCAGTATTGCAACAGCAGGTAAACGACAGGATTACACCTATAGCATTCTTCTCTAAGCGATTATCGCCAACACAAGAACGTTATAACACGTTCACACGCGAGCTACTAGCAATGTATTTAGCAGTAAAGCATCTCAACTTCCTATTACAAGAACGTGATTTTATTATAATGACTGATCATAAACCTTTATGCTACTCTCTCAACATGTCGTACGACAAACTTTCACCACGCAAAGCGAGACAACTTGATTATATCTCACAATTCACCACGGACATCCAGTTTATCAAGGGCCATACCAACATTGTTGCAGACGCACTGTCTAGAAAGGATATCAATATGACGGTAACTAACCATGACATCAGCCTTGAAACCTTAGCCAAATTACAAGCAGACGACGTAGAATTGAAGGTCTGTAGAGAAAAGTCTAGCTTGAATCTAAAATCGGTACCCATTCCCTTCTCAGATACATCCATCATTTGTGACACTTCAACGAGCAACAATCGTCCCTTTGTCCCACTTACTTGTCGCAGAAAGATATTTCAACCGCTACATGGACTGTCGCATCCAGTTATTAGAGCTACTACCAAGCTGATCACCGAACGTTTCGTCTCGCCCAAAATGAACTCCGATATAAAACGATGAGCACGAAACTGCATACAATGTCAGCGTAGCAGAGCTCGAAGACACACAGTCAGCCCGATTGAGGAATTCCGTACCCCCGACAGACACTTTCAGCATATACATTTGGACCTAGTAGGACCTCTGCCATATTCAAATTCTTTTACTCACATCCTCACGGCGGTAGACAGGTTCACGAGATGGGCCGTAGCAAGCACTATAAAAGACACATCCGCCGAAACTGTAGCATCTGTTTTTCTCGGCCGCTGGATAGCAAATTATGGTGTACCCACAATAATCACAACAGACCGCGGTCCCCAATTACAGTCTGTATTATTTCAGGAATTCACAAAATTACTGGGCTTGAAACACATAAAAACAACATCCTATCATCCAGCAGCTAATGGTTTGGTCGAAAGGTTCCACCGCCAATTAAAAAGCTTGCTGATGGGACAGGATGATACATCAAAGTGGAGTAATGCATTACCACTTGTTCTCCTAGGAATCTGTTAAACCGTAAAGGCAGATATATAGGTTGCTCGCCTGCCGAACTAGTCTACGGTACAACTCTTATGTTACCAGGTCAGGTAGTTGATCCAGATACATCACCACCAACAGACCCAAGCCAGTTCGCTAGTCGA